GGGGGCTGGGGGGGGGGAGAGCTCGGAGGTCGCTGGTGAAAGTCAAAAGCATTGCAGTAAAATGGTAATCAATCTCCCCAGTCGATGGTGCCAGGACCTTCGAAGCATTACAGAGAGATTCCTCCCAGCAGCTCCCGACGGCAGCAGCCAGTCTGGGGGGGCTGCTGCCCCCCTCCCTGCACCCTCACCTCAGTGCTCCCCACCTCCATGGGCGCCCCTCCCTGCGCCCTCACCCATGTGCCTCCATCCCTGCATCCCCATCCCTATGCACCCATCCCTGCATCCCACATCCCTGGACCCCCATCCCAGCACCCCCCATCCCTGGACACCCATCCCTGGACCCCCCTCCTCATGCCCCCATCCCTGCATCCCCATCCTGGTACCCCCCATCCCTAGACCCCATCCCCATCCTGGCCAGGCTCCAGGACCCTGGGGGAGGCAGGACAGGGTCTGCACCTTTTGGGGTGCTCCGGGGCTGGCAGGGACCCTGCAGCTGACGTGCTCAGCGGGGCAGGGAGGGGGAAGGCTGTGCCCTGCAGTGAGCTTCCCCTGGTAGTGCCTGGCGGCTGAGCCCGGCTGTGCCCCCCCCACACCAAGGCCATGTGGGGTGGGAGCAGATGGGTGCCCAGGGCAAGCAGGCGGAGGGCCCCAGGGTGGCATCCCGCTCCTGGCACCCCCGGCACGCTGCCATGTGCAGCCGGCTGCGCTGCCGCCGGCGGACGGCACCCAGGGGGGAGTCAGGGACCTCCACGCCGTGCCAGCATCTGCGTCTCCCACCGCCTGGCAGCCCCTTATCTCCCCTCACCAGCCTCGCCGCTGGCTGCGGCGCGAGGCAGATGGCACCAATCTGCTGGGGAGCCCGTGCCAGGGCTCTTGTCCTGAGCGCGCCTGCGGGCCGTGCCAGGCCGGCCGTGCCAAACGGCTGTGCCGTCCCTCCAGATGGAGGAGCAGGCGTTTCCCCGGGCAGCGCTTGCTCCACCAGCCCCCGCGCAAATATTTATCGGCAGGGTTGCAAGGAGATTGATGGGGTGCACAATATTTGGGCTCTGCTGTTCGCAGAGCTGGGCGCCGGCAGGCAGGCGGGCTGGAGAACCCCCCCAGCATGCAGATAAACATGTGCAAACCCTCCTCCCGCTCCAGGTATCTCTCCTCTCCCAGCCAAATAACCAGGGAAGCTGGGTTGAGGGGGGCAAGATAGGCAGAGCCCAGCGGGGAGAGCAGACTCCCCTGGGAAAGGGCACAAGGGTATGAGACATCGGAGAATGGACAGGGGCCGGGTTTCTGCCCCCGAGAGCTGCGTGCCATGGAGGTGGCCGTGGAAAGGGGCTCACCGGGGTGCGGTGACCCCGACCC